AAAAAGAGAGTAGCAAGGTTAAAAAATCTCATAGTTATCAAGGAAAAGCAAGAGTTGATAGAGCTTTTATAATCAATGCACAACCAGTTCTTATCAAAGGGATACTACAATGTTAGCAATAAGATTTTTTTTCTTTCTGTAGTGACTCTACATTATCCTAATTGTTTCCCTGTGCCTACCAAACACTGTCAGTGTTTATAACAGAATTTTGAAGAAGAATTTGTAACATGCAGTACTAATTGATATTATAGTTCTCACTTTACTTTTTCTAATCAGACATCATGTGATCTTTTTTTGGTTCTATTTTATATTCTTTATATTGTATATTGCCTAAATGAGTTCACATTTTTCCAACTGAGTTTTTTTCTATTATTTGCCTAAAAGAAGTATCATTGTTTACATATGGAACATGATTGAAAATGAGTAGATGGATCATAATTAATCTCAGTAGATTGAATATGAAATCTATTTTTAAAGAAGGCTAAACCTATGTAAATTCCAGATACTTCCTTTATAAAAAAATAATATTACCATTCTGGAAAATAAACAAGAACAAAGTTGTATTATGTTCTTTTAAAACCAAAATTTTTATCTTCATTTCCATGGTATTTAGATAGCCTTATCTTTACTTTAACATAATAGAATGCTGAAGCCTTTGTTTCTCTATTAAAAATATTTCAACAAATGTTAACATAGTGCTGCTTAGCTTGGCCAAGCATACTCATTATTTCTTTGTTCATCTCTGCACTTTCTGTGAAACCAGAATTCTATTAAGATTTGAAACTGGTGGTGGTTTCCCAGGAAAGCACATTGAGTAGTTATTTGTGAGAAGAAAAGTACTTACTAATGGCAAAGTAGTAAACCATTTTCAAGATGAAAATTGATTTCTATTTATTTTGCTTCAAAGGTCCTGAAAAATAAGCAATTATCATAACAATTTGTTATTGATAATGGAGGTTTCATTGACACATTTCTCAAATTAAAGCTCACACTGCCTCCATAAAAGTCCTCAATATCTAATTTATAAGCTTTACAATTATTTCTTTTATAAGGCTTAGACACCGAATTATTGGAGTTTTAAATTAAGGGTCCTGGAAAAGAAAGTACAGTGTGTGTACGAAATGTTGAGGTCCTGTGCAACAACCCTAAATTTTATTTTTTTCTTTTTATAATTTGTGCTGCATAACAAAGCCACTAGAATGTTACTGTCTTGTCTGTCCATGTGTTATTAGCATTTCTTAATGATGTATATATGGAGTGGTCTTATAGTGAAGGATTTAAAGAGAAAGTCAATCATAATGGTATTTTTAATAAGAGCAAAATTAGGAGTGTCTGGCCACATATTTGTCCTATGCCCATATACTTTCTACTTAAGGCTCTTAATACCATTAATTTGAAGCATCTAAAATAGTGATCAGTTTTCAAAATCTTTCAAAAACAAAATTGCCGTGTCTTCAATATTGTTTTTAAGTGATAACTTTAAAGTTAGGAACTTAAATATTTTTAATTTGCTAAATTTTAAAGTCATGTTGCAAATAATTACTTAAGTCCAAAAATATACACAGAAGTATGTGTATATTTTTGGACTTAATTAATTATTCTTCTTTAAAATTTTACTGTCCAACCAAATTTCTAGATGTTTTCCTTTGTAGATGATGAATAATTATCATTCTTTACCGAATGTTTTAAAAATTATAATTCTTTGTAATGACTTACTTTTTCAAAATTATTCATGGATTCCTATGATACTTTGATTTCATTCTATTGATAGCTTTTTAAGCAAATATTTTCAAAGGGAGTTTATTAAAAGTATATTTGTTACCTTTTAGAAATACAATGAAATGAATTTCTCTTGCTTGTGCATTTTCTCTCTGCTGCTTTAAATGCTCTTCACCAACATGGCACAATAAATGGAATATTTATTTGTCCACAATGCTCAAAATTCATGACAATGATGGGATTTTGACATGTGGAAATGTTACTAATTATTGTGAAGTGATATGTAGCTTTTATGTCACTTGTATCAGTGACATCAAAGTGAAGTAAATTTACTCTATTTAAATTCACATTAAAACAAGTGAAATTGCATAAGCATAATATACAGAATTCCCTAGTATTCATCACATTGAGTAATTATAATATGGTAATTTTATAATCTATGAAATTAACATTTTAAACATCTCCAATTATATTTATGTCATGTTAAAAGCATTTATCATAGTCACTAATTCTAATATTAGGATTGACTTTCTCTTTCTTTATGACTTCATAAGGACTGTTGTGAATTTTGAAGACTTAGGGTACTAAGATTGTACCTTTGCTAGGCAGCAAATTATGAAATATAATACTGCTGGCATCTGATGTGTCAGTAAGTACAGAAATAACTAATACACAAATAACCTTTGCAAACATTCAAGCTGTGTAATATTCCAATGTTGTTGTTTTTCTTTGTATATATACTTAAATAATGTAGGATGTTGTAAAATCAGTATGACCTTGTCTAGTCTTCAAACTTAAAATAAAACTTTTGAAAATCTGGGATAATTTTGGAGCAGTTGTAATTAAACACATTTTTAAGAATATATAAATTGTCTGAATATGAATGCCCATTAATCTTTAAGTAGTTGCTTGGTTTACTTTTTTCCTTTTTGTACAAGACAGTTGAAAATACAGAAAGGTATAGAAATTACAGTAAGCTCCAAATATACATTAACATCAGCAAAACTGGCCTATCCAAAACAAAATCATTAAAATGTGTGCATTTCTTTTTGCTCCTTTTAGCTATGGAAATTTTATTGGCATTCTAATCATCCAAAGTCCTTTCTTAACCTAACACATATTTAAAGTATGGATCTGATTTTTGTTAATCAGATGCTATTATTTCGGTTGTTTTTTAAGTACATGATTCTCAGTAGTAAAATGAAGAGATCTAGTCAAGTAAGCAGTAACACAAACATTAATACGTATTTACCCATATAACTCAGTCATTGCTTAAGGAGAATCATAACACTTGGCTTTTTCATAAACCCTCTCTGGAAGACACTGTAAAATATTAAGTCTGTGTACTTTCCAGAGTTTATATATTTTCTTAGATTTCAAAAAAAAATCCTATATAATAAAGAGGTAATATGCAAATTAATCATCACTCCACACAAGATGGCCACCCCCATTTGGCCACAAAATGGCCATGGGGGGTGGGCAGTTGTGGGCAATCAGGCTGGCAGGGAAGGGCAGTTAGGGGAGACCAGGCCAGCATGGGAGGGAAGTTGGGGCGACCGGGCCGGCAAGGGAGTGGTTAGGGGGCAATCAGGCAGGCAGGCAGACGAGCAGTTGGAAGCCAGCAGTCCTGGATTTGTGAGAGGGATGTCCCAGACCCCCTCTCTCCCCCCACAGTGCATAAATGTCATGCACTGGGCCTCTAGTAAGAAAATAACATAAAATATTAAATGTTGACTCATTAGTTGATCTTCAGTAGATCTCTGATAGTTCTCAGTACTAACTTACTATATGTGTTTATGTATCCATATATGTTCCTCTTAACTGCATTTAATGTGAATGGTTCAGTGGGGTTCCATTACTTGCTTAATTTTTGCACACACAAAAACCTACAGAAATATGCTTGACAACATGTATACAGAGTAAACATTCATTGTGATAAAAGAATAATTATTCAACAGAAAATTTTCAACTATGAGACTTTTAAAATTACTGATTCATGAGGTAAAAATAATAGAAACAGAATTTTGAGAAGGGAAGTCTGACCATGTTAAAACTTTTTTAAAAAATCTATTAAGATAAGTTCATGAATAGGAAATACTCTCTATATAACCTAACATTTTAAAATGTCTAACACCTCAGGTTTGAATACATGATTTTAAGTAAAGATTTTGGTAAAGATACATGAATGTTTACTGTCAGAAATGCAATGCTCTCTATTTCTCCCTTCCTGAAGGATAGTTTAAACAATATTGGCAACTGAGTTATTTGGTAATTTATTTGTGAAAAATATTGCCTCTTTCCTTTGAGATGCAATAGGACCCTTTCACCTGAGCCAATAAATGGAGGATTAAACCACATTGCTAGTTGAGAAATATCTGAACTACCCTGGAACAAAATGTATTGTCATTTTTCTTTACGGAGAAAAATACCTAGTGCAAGTACCATTTTTCCTATTGATTTTGAAGAGGGGAATAGGATTCTTTGATTCTGTTGTAGTAAGTGGCTATAATTCATATTGGATGTTTCAACATTGTCACCAAACAGTGTTTTCCACAGTAGGCAAGTGGCACTTACTCCAAAAGATATTTCTATTAGATGAATTTGGTAGCAGAGATAGGAGAACATTTTTGGAAAAAAAAAAAAAAAGGCTCTTCATTTAGTTTTTTTTGCCCATCTTGGCAGGAGTTGATCAAATCATTTGCAAACAGTAATGCTGCGGAAATACGGGATAGTGCATCAGCAAATGGTCACCATATTACCAGATTAGGCACTGCATATGGTAACTGCTTCTGATTTAATTTTATTTTAATGTCCTCACAGGCATGGACTACACTTTCATATTTATGTAAAATCCCCATAGCACCATTCTTATGCCCACACATGGATATGTTAATAATAATGATGAATTGCGACATAAGCTCAACCTGCTGCCACCTGAAAAGGAAGTGGTGGCAATGAGATGGATGGTGCGTTCACGCACGACATCCCCTATGGCCAATATGGAAACAGCTTTGTGATGACTTTTATAAGCATTAGGCCAAGACACTGAGGAGAATTCTTTTCAAGGCAACTGGGAATAAACTATATGCATGTGACAGAAAAGGAATGTTTTCAGTGACAAGAGACTTAAATGGCATGCACTTTTAAACATGAATTTATACAGTTTATAATTGTTTCACATCTTAGAATGCAGCAGAAATTTAAATTAAAAAAATAATAAGGCCTTGCCTTTTAGTAAAAGGAC